AGCATTGAAATCCAACGCAGAATCACTCTTGCCAACAAGTGCTACTTTGGACTGAGTAGGCAATTCAGGAGTAAAGTCCTCTCTCGACGTACGAAAACCACGCTCTACAAATCACTCATCATGCCCGTGCTGGTATATGGCGCAGAATGACAACAGCCGATGAGGCTCTTGGCTCTTGGAGTGTTTGAGAGAAAGATTTTGTGGAAGATTTACGGGACTCTACGCGTTGGCGACGGCGAGTACCGCAGACGATGGAACGATGAGCTGTATGAGCTTTACAACGACATGGACATAGTGCAGCGAATTAAAATACAGCGGCTTCGCTGGCTTGGTCGTTCGAATGGACGCCGACGCTCCAGCTCTGAAAGTTTCCAACTCGGAACCCGCTGGAAGCGGAAGAGGAAAGATCAGGTGGAGAAGGACTTGGCTTCACTTGACGTTTTCAATTGGCGCCAGTTGGCACAGAGGAGAAACGACTGGCGTGCTTTGCTGAACTCGGCCAAAATCGCTTACACACACATGCATATATATATAAAATGGCTTACCTCATTCCATCCATATTTGTTTTTTGCTTGTACAATGGCTTCGTATACGGCATTGTGCTCCAAATTTTTTATTACATGTGACGTTATGAAATGAGTATTATCAATCCGGATTAAAGCTGGATTTATGTGGTTTTCGTGCCACTTTCCGGGATGCTGATATGTTTCATTCATCTGAAATATTATAAACATTTTTAAATAAATAATTCTCTTAACAGCGTAGGCAGCATAACTCAAAATTTTGCTCAACGCATTGTATAGTTATTTACGTAGGAACTTAATCTTCTATATAAGTTAAAGCTCGGTTAGTTACCTTAAGAATTTGCCAATGATTACTTAACATATGAACTTAAGCCAGAAGCGAAAATACTTTGTTTTTGTACTTTTTTTTCCGCTGTTTGACAGTTCGCCGCCTAAAATGCCACATCAAACAAATTCGTGCGAAGAAAATGTTTCCGTTAATTTATTTTTAAAATATACAAAAACGAAAGTCTGGAAAGCCTTATCTCTCAGCGCCCCCAATTTCTGTAAGACCGTAATTTAAGAATCTAAGATCTACAGGTTCTTAAGTTTCTTACGGTAAGTCGAGTTTTTACTAATACTGAATAACTCAGTGAGAGGGGAGATCAGCATTTTGCATGTATGTATTTGTATAAAAAAATATTTATTGGACCAAAAAGGAGTGGGTAGGCATTAAACTGCTGCAGGAATGCATTTGTTTGCAGCTTCAAAACATTCTCTTGATGTTAGAATAGCCGCTCTCTTTCATTCTATGTTAGCGAACATGAATTAGAATGTTATCGAAGAGTACTGGAATGGAGTGGAGTGAATATTCTCTCTTAATAGAATATTCATATTCTCAACATTTGCAACGGAAGGTAGAGTATTTGAGAATACTCTAACGGCTCTGTTATGCATACTTGGCATTGCTTTAGAGTTGTCACAAAAGCAATCTGTTAAACGAGCTTCGCGTGTAAGCGGTTACCCAACGCACTGCATTACATAAACAGAAGTCTGTTCGTTTTTGATTTCTACATAAAAATGGTATAGCATTGCATGCACTGCCAAGTATGCATAACAGAACCTTAATATACTCGTATGTACAATTAAATATACATATGTATATATATATTTGTATGACGCTGTTACTAGACTGTTGAAGTGAATTTAGTCCACATTAAAATTTGAAAATTTAATAATAGTAAATGGTCTTTATTTTAAAATTATGTCAAATAGACATAACCTATGCACATACATACAAACATATGGGCATATATCTTTAAATTAAAACAAAATGAAAAAAAAAATATTTATTTAAACTAAAACTTAACATGGAATTCATTTGGATCACTTAAAACATACATACACCCATCAGAATATGTTTCCGTACAGTGTTTTTTTTGTTAATGTTTCCAATGTTTTGCATAATAAATTTTTTCGTTAATTTTTAATAAAAAAATAGTTCATTCTACATCAAAAAGCATATAAGTTAGTGTTTCAAAGTTTTTACAAAATTTTGGAAAATTAGACAAATTTTCACCAAAATTTTCAGCTTTTAAACTAAATTTTTTAGAATTTTGAGTATGCAGTTTTGTAGTTCACTTAATTTCAGTACAATAAAGTGCAAGTTTTAAATGGCTATGATGTTGCTCATTTTCTCCATATAACGAGTGCCTGGTAGTTTTTTTGTATGGGAAAAAATGCCGAAGAGCGTCAGTAAAAAAATTCTCAAAAATCAACGGTAGCTCATTGCCACTTAAAATTTCTGCTTTGTTATTCTGAAATTGAGAGAACTACAAAACTGCATACTCAAAAAAATTTTAAAAAATGTTGTTAAAAGCTGAAAACCGTGAAACCATGAAACCATGGCATTGTAATTAACAAAAGAGCCTCCATCAGTTGACTGTTAAGTATATTTAAGTACAGATATTTAAAATAAAATGAAACTTGTAAATACGTATATACATTAATAAAAACTTGCCTCATTTATATTTGCCATAATGTCAAAAATTTCTTTATTATTTATTATTAGTTTAATATTTATTACCCACAAAAGACCTACAGCACGATGCCGCTATTGCGCTTGATTAACAGCACTTCAGCAAAAAAAGGCTATGCTGGACATGTAATACTCTCAAATACTCGTTTATTTGAAGGTAAAAATGCGAAACAGAGAGCATAGGAAAGAAAATAAGAGATACTCCGTTACACCAATGGTAATGAGCATTCCATTCGCCAAATATTATACTCCCGCTCATTCGCATTCTCTTGCTGATATCGTTTGCAAACCTTGTACATGTTTTGAGAGTAAAGAGAACGACCGCAAAAGCAAATGCATTCTCGCAGCTGTATAGTAGGTATATATAAACGAGTTTGTAAAAGAGGCGTGGAATTTTAATTTGGTATGCAGACATATCAATTGTAGGTGCTTATATGAGGGTATATATAAACGACTTTGCAAAAGGGGGCGTAGCACATCCCATAGGCGTGGAATTTTTTATCAGTTATAACTTCGGAAGTCCCACGAACTTGAAATTTGGTATGCAGACATATTAATGGTAGGTGCTTATAGAAGGGTATATATAAACGAGTTTGTAAAAGGGGGCATGGCACATCCCATAGGCGTGGAATATTTTATCAGCTATAACTTCGGAACCATAAGTCACACAAACTTGAAACTCGGTATGCAGACATATCAATGGTAGGTGTTTATACGAGGGTATATATAAACGTGTTTGTAAAAGGGGCGTGGCACGTCCCATAGGCGTGGAATTTTTTATCAGCTATAACTTCGGAACCATAAGTCTCACGAACTTGAAAATTTGGTATGCAGACATATCAATGGTAAGTGCTTATAGGAGGGTATATATAAAGGAGTTTCTAAAAGGGGGCGTGGCACATTCCATTGGTGTGGAATTTTTTATCAGCTATAATTTCGGAAACAATAAGTCGCACGAACTTGAAATTTGGTATGCAGACATACCAATGGTAGGTGCTTATACGAGGGTATATATAAACGAGTTTGTAAAAGGGGGCGTGGCACATCCCATAGGCGTGGCGTTTTTATCACCTATAACTTCGGAACCACAACTCACACGGTCTTGAAATTTGGTGTGCGGACATATTAATGGTAGATGCTTATAGGAGGGTATATATAAATGAATTTGTAAAATGAGGCGTGGCACATCCCATAGGCGTGGAATTTTTGATCAGCTATAACTTCGGAACCATAAGCCCTCCTAACTTGAAATTGGGTATGCAGACATATTAATGGTAGATGCTTATAGGAGGGTATATATAAATGAATTTGTAAAATGAGGCGTGGCACATCCCATAGGCGTGGAATTTTTGATCAGCTATAACTTCGGAACCATAAGCCCTCCTAACTTGAAATTGGGTATGCAGACATATTAATGGTAGGTGCTTATACGAGGGTATATCAGTGATGCCAGACATTCTCTGTTAAAAATCCCACACAAATTGGGAAAAATCCCTAAATTACCCACAGCTTAAAAATTTATCCCACAAAATTCCCAACGAATTTAAACATATACATGTTTCAGTAGTAAATAAGTAAAATCCATTAAAATAATAATAATAATAATTGGCGCTTACACATATGTGCTTCTCCTCCAATTTGTGGCGTGCCCCTTGTTGTTGTCACACAAAGGGGAGGGACCTACAGTTTTACGCCGACTCCGAAAGGCGAGTGTATTTTTATGAGAAGCTGTTTTTCATGGCAGGAATACACTCCGAGGTTTGCCATTGCCTGCCGGGGGCCGACCGCTGTTAAGAATAAACCCCTTTTTCTGCATTTTTTTCACTCATTCATTTTTTCACTTTTATTTCTTTGCTCACTCACTAAGGGCCTAAAAGAATTTTTTGGTGACTTAAAAATTGAAGCACATTCATGTGCTATTTAACATTTCATCAGATAATTTGTTCCGCTTTTTACACGAAACACCAGTTACAACTGAAAAGATTCTCTCTTACTCAGCGCTTGAATTGGTTAACGTAAGAAAATTTTCGAAATTGTCCTTATACTTTTTAACAATTATATACCATTTCATTCCACATCACATCTTCAGAAAGATTAATTACGTAAGAATGTCGAATATTCTTAAATTTGGATCAATTATGCAACAATAACTGCATCAAAAGAAAATCCCTTATTTATTTGAAATGTCCCTTTTTCCCTTTTAATAATTTTTGTTGCAAAATATCCCTCAAATAGGGGAATTACCCACAATCTGGCATCACTGGGGTATATATAAACGAGTTTGTAAAAAGGGGCATGGCACATTCCATAGGCGTGGAATTTTTTATCAGCCATAACTTCGAAACCACAAATCCCATGAACTTGAAATTTGGTATACAGAAATATCAATGGTAGCTGCTTGTACGAGGGTATATATAAACGAGTTTGTAAAAGGGGGCGTGGCTCATCCCATAGGCGTGGGATATTTTATCAACTATAACTTCGGAACCATCAGTCCCGTGAACTTGAAGTTTGGTATGAAGACATATCAATAGTAGGTGCTTATACGAGGGTATATATAAACGAGTTTGTAAAAGGGGGCGTGGCTCATCCCATAGGCGTGGGATATTTTATCAACTATAACTTCGGAACCATCAGTCCCGTGAACTTGAAGTTTGGTATGAAGACATATCAATAGTAGGTGCTTATACGAGGGTACATATAAATGAGTTTGTAAAAGGGGGCGTGGCACACCCTATAGGAACCCCTTCGGAACCATAAGTCGCACGAACTTGAAATGTGGTATACAGGTATAGCTATGGTAGGTGCTTATAAAAAGATAAATATAAATGAGTTTGTAAAAGGTGGCAAATCCCATAGGCGTAGAAAATTTTATCAGCTATAATTTCAAAACCATAAGTCACATGAAATTTAAATTTGGTATGNCTTATTTATTTGAAATGTCCCTTTTTCCCTTTTAATAATTTTTGTTGCAAAATATCCCTCAAATAGGGGAATTACCCACAATCTGGCATCACTGGGGTATATATAAACGAGTTTGTAAAAAGGGGCATGGCACATTCCATAGGCGTGGAATTTTTTATCAGCCATAACTTCGAAACCACAAATCCCATGAACTTGAAATTTGGTATACAGAAATATCAATGGTAGCTGCTTGTACGAGGGTATATATAAA